GTAACTTTCACAAACCCTAAACTTAATTTTGGCCAGTACCAGATTATGACTCTTCTGAGAAACTATTATTTAAATTTTACTTTCACTTTATTCCATTGACTTTAGAATATTTTAAACAATTGTATTGAGGAAAAATTTTCCAGCATTCAGTAACATTTTGGGTGCCACAGCATCTTCATATTTAAAACGGGATGATCTTAGATGCTTGCTACAGTTTTTTGTATGCCACCTTGGCTCTGGGAACTTACACGTAAGAATTTAAATTATGTTTTTGAAACTTTAGGAGTTCCTGTTCTTCAAAAATCTTTGTTAACAAAAATATGGAGAAAACAAAAAATGCAGTTTTGACTAGTGTTAGGCATATTTGTAGAAAAATGCATTTGCTTTCTACTGATAACTCATCATTGAGGACTGAATATCAGCTAATCATTGTAACTTTTGGTAAATTGATAGTCCAGATTATATTCATTCAGATAGAATATATGGGATGATCAAGATCAGCCCTCTTGGGAGCCTGCTTAAAGTGCCAATGGTTAGTTTTCTTTTGAAAACTTGCTAAATCTGACCATGGGGGTGCACAGAGAACCTGTACTTTAGCAATATCTTCAGGTGATTATGTGTGAGCTGTAAACATACAGCAATCTCATGATAGAACCTCAGTTATAGTATGTATTTCATGCTGTTGCTGTGATTTGTGTTTTGATAAAACAATTAGGTGAATGTTTTATGCTACTTCGCAGGAGTCCTATTGAAAATTTTTTTTTCTTTGACTAATATGCAGCACAACAGAAGTGTTTTATTCAGGGAAATAATATCCATCAACCTTCATTTAATTATTTTTGTTATTTTGTCATGTGACTTCTTTTTTTTTTTTTTTTCCTCTGGTACCGGGAATCAAACTCATGACCTTGCGCTTGCCAGGCAGGCACTGTGCTGCTGAGCTAAATCCCCAGCCCCCTGTCATGTGATTTCTAAGCACTGTAGATAGTTTCTTCTCATGGGCAAAGTCAACTCAGTTTCTCATAAATTCTCTATGAAAAACACATGTGGGGTTCACTACCTATTGAAAAATATCTTAATTTGAAAAATTAAGTCTTTGTTTGGTTACTATATTAAAAATGTCAATCAATGCCCCTCTTCCTTCACACCTCCTTTACTTGTTACCTACATTGACTTTTTCACTCCTCCTTTACTTGTTACCTACATTGACTGATTTTTTTAACCAATATTAGCCATGGTTGCAATAAATCTATGATATTTATGACCTAGTGAACAACTTGAAAAAATATTTCTCCAGAGCCACTACTAAACACTACTTTCTATCAGATAAGAAAAGAAAACTTTAACATACACACTTGGCTACTGTCATTAATTCATATTTATTTTATTTGGAACAGTAAAATGTAGGCACTATATCACTCATTTTCTACTTCAACAAGTTGGAAGTTGGTAGATTATCTAGGATATTAGGAACAGGAAGAGGAGCCTGTAAACACAAAGTAACCTTCTCTATTAGACATGGTTTCACACTCAGAAACAGTAGATCCTTAGAAGGTTGATAGCTGAGATCATATCTTGACATTTTAAAATGAATAAAACAGATATCTTATTATCTATGACCTATACCATGAACTTTGTAAAAGTCATGATCTTCCTTTATAAAACAAAATCAATAACAGATTGTGAATATATTTTGGATCAACACTAAATTGGAGGCTTAAGATGTTAATAGCGATATTTCTACAAGGCTTTCTTTCTTTTTCCATCTCTGCTCCTGTATTTTTTTGGGGGATTGATTAGGGCATTCTACAGTGTATGAAAAATACATGATATTTATATATTTAGCAACAAATGTTGTTTTCTTGTTGGAATTGCTATTATGAAGTATTCTGTAACTGACAAGTACAGAACAACATGATACAACTGTCCACCAAAAGCTTGGTGGTACTGAGATAAAAGGACAACTTTGCCCCTGAATTTGAGACTCCCTGCATAATTGGCAAAACAGATACAGTTAAAAACAGCTATAGAGAGAAAAGTCCAGGAGAGTTCAGTATAAAAATTTAAATTTGGAAAAAGGCCATAGTGGTGGTGCACTTTTGGGGCTTACAAACTTAATGGTGCCATGCAAAACTAGACAAATGCAGTGTAGGCAGACAAAGTAGCCGGAGGACAGGTCCTGCATGACTCTATGCAATATGTGAGGGAAAATAAAGAAGTCTGTGAAAATCTTAGACAAGTAATAGAATATTAGAAAAAGACAATTTCCAGTCAACGTTTACATTGTGCAAGCCAAGGACTGACTTTGAGGAAGGAAAGTAAGTGTCCTTTAACAAGGATTGAAGTGAACTTAGAGGTTGCTTATTGTCAAGAAACTACAGTTTTCTCATCTGGAAATTGTTATAATAGTTGGACCTGGATTAAATGAAAATCTGTAAAAGTCATATTATTGAAATTGCTGAAAAATAAACATTCAGTGTTATCGGTACTATTTTTACCGGCATCACTATTAAAAAATCACAATTAAAAAATTTTCCAAGCATAGTGCAGGAAGCAAAAAGCAAGGATCAGTGACAAAGTATCTTTGGACAACATAGGGGTCTCTTCAAATCTTAAGGCTGGTGGGAAAAAGAAATTAGAGGAGATATAGGATCTTTTCTCAAAGGGGATGAGTAGTATAAAGTAGTCACACAAAACACTAAACTTTTTGCCCAAAATAACTGGAAGGTTTCTGTTGTTTACTATTGGGTGAATAGAAGTCATTTTGTTGTAGAGTCAGTTATTGATTAGACACCAGTACAGAAACCAGAAAAAAGGGGACAAACACTTAGGAAACCAAATACATAGAAAATACTTGGTAAACAATGTACTCTATATTTGGAAAGCATAAAGTGGTTATTTTTATCATGTAGATTTGAGTTTCATTGGTAGTGGAGAAACGAAGGGAACATGTCAATATTTCCAAGATCAAATATTTATCTAATTTGTCTACTGAAATCTATAGGATCACTGGATATGTTGCTATTGTTCCAAGTACACTGTATACTGAATGTTAGCTATGAAGTTCAGTTAGAAGAAAATGAAGCAAAATAAGAAATGCACAGATAGCATAAAAGTTATGTAAACAAGAAGGGCCTAGTATTTTTTTAAAGCTACTGCAATATATTTCCTCAAAATTTTACCTCCCTTCCAAAGTAGAAATTTACATAAATTCCAATATTACATAACAATCCCAAAATTATACCACCAGCCTAATAGTACCTTTGACCTACACAGCTTTGGCAATCTGCACACCTTTTGTGTTATGAACTAATTTTATGTTCCATTCTTTTTTTTTCTTAGTCTATCCTACTCTCTTGAAATTTCCTCCAAATGCATCAATCCTAGTTCTGTGACAATAAATTTACACATCATCCTTCAGCTTGGAATTCTTTTCTTCATGCTTATTTGTTGTAATCAATTTATATCCTTTCCTAAGAACAGAGAGGCTATTAAAATTTATCACATCTTTTTCTTTTATTTGCTAAGTACAGTTGTTACTGCCTAATATATTAGGGATTAGTTGTTTACTTCTGGTCTACCTCTCTTCAGTGCAATGTAAACTCCTAGAAGAGGGCTTTGGATTCTTGTATTCCTTGCTCTGTCTGCAGGGTCAAGAATGGCCCTGAAAGTGCCCTTTAGGAAATACTTGCTGAGTGAAATTTATTGCTGACACCACTGATGCAGGACTTTGGAGGGTCTGAGTTCTCCAAGCCTGCCAACTAGTGGGAAGTGGCATTGGATGGCACCATCTGGGAAATGCCAGGTGCTGGGAGTTGGATGAAATATGACATGTGACAGAGAGAATTAAATTAATTCCTTTTTCTGGAGAGAGGAGTAGGGGAGGAAGGAATACTGAAAGTTTGACCAATGGCTATTAAGTTACATTTAAATAAGAGGAATTTGTTCTCCTGTTCTATATAGTAATAGGGAGATAAAACACGGTGGTAATGTTCTGTGTATTTCACAGATGTAGAAGAAAGCATTTTAAGTGCTTTCACAACAGAGAAATGATAAGTTTTTGAAAGATAGAGTTCTGCTGATTTGAATATTGCTCAATGTACACTGTATTGAAATCTAAAAAATATACTATTTTAATGTGCCTACTAAAAAAATGTAGACTTAAGAGGACCCCTCATACCAAGTTGATTCAGTGCTCTTCATCTGAGAAAGGATGTGGTTACAAGAATGGTTATATTAATTTAGTGTATAAATGAAATAAAAACTAGGAAACATCATACAAACATGGATATGGTTATAGTTTAATGATGGGAAAAATAGATTTATAACACAAAAGTGGTAGAGAACAGCTTAACAAGTTGAATTATTCCACTATTGCATCAATTATTACATTATTGCATCAGTTAGGAAAGCAAGTATCATGAAACACAGAAAGTACCCTGTATCATTCTCTTATCTTACTTTTTTGGGGGGATAATGTTACTGTTATTGCATTTGTCTACATGTCCCCCCAAAGCCTCATCCAGTGGTAGATGGGTCTTTTCCATGGATGGCTGGATCTAGAATGTGAGATGCTGGGATTAAGGATGTGTGATTTCTAAATTAGTCCACTGATTGGTTTAGCACCCACCCTGAGCCAGGAAGCTTATAGCAAGAAGCTGCTATTGTTGCTTGTCATGTATTAGTGGTGCTCTTTGTGTTTTTCTCTGTGATGCCACTCTGCCATGCCAACCTGCCTTCTCATTAGCCAATCATGGGCTGAAACCTCTACAAAGTGTAAGCCAAAATAGATACCTCTTCCTTTAACTTTGGGTGTCAGACATCCTGTCTCAAATGAGAAAAATAACTAAAAATTTGGCCCAAAAGAAGTAGGGTCTTTACTGTGAATACACCTGACCATGTAATTCAGTAGCCTTTGGGACTGGCTTGTGGGACTTGTTTGGAAATGTTTGGAAGTCCTGGCTGGAAAAGCAGTGCTGGAAACCCTTAGGTTAAACCTGATGGGAGATTCTGGTCACAGTACAGAAGACCAGAACGCTGATAATAACGATGCTGGTAAAAACCAGGCCCCTGAGTTTTCTGCTGGGGTGAAGGACTTCATTGGTTGTCAGACTCCAGATGACGTGCACTGTGCCTTGGCAGAAAGTGTGCCTGCGTTTTGCTCATGTGCAGTCTGTCTGGGAATGAGATTAAGGACAGTAGACTAATTAATTTTATAGAAGAAATTTCAAGGAAGGTTAATGTTGAGGACATGCCATGGCTACTGCTAGGGGCTTTTAGCCAGATTTATGTTGAGAGTCAAAAACAAAGAGCCCAGCAGAATATTCACAATGTTGTGAATTTGGCCAGACAAAAAGCTCCAGTAAAGGTGGACCTTACAAGGATGGAACAGAGGGTAAATTGGTCACTTAAAAGACTAGCAAGGAAAAACAAAGTATTTCAGAAGATGACAACAGAAAAGTGGCCTGAGGACATCATAAACACCAGCAATAGCATCGTGATCATGATCAAAAGAATAAGACATATAAAATGCACCAGTTTTCAAAAGACAAGAAAAAAAGGATAGGAGATGAGTAATTATAATTTATATTTTGAGATAGAAGGTAGAGAAAATGAAGTTAAATTTTATAACTAGGGGAAAGGCTGAGGTCACTCTTGATGTTAAAAGAAGTAATTATATATTTTGAGATAAAAATGAGCTCAACAGAAACAATCATGGCCAAAATGAGACAAAATGATGATCGTGTTGTTTGAACAAGACTGTGATTCTGTGTTTTTAGTTTAAATACACTAGCCTAATGTTTCTTAACTTCTAGGCTTAATGAACTTGCTGACTTGTCCAGGGGAAACACTAGCTCAAGGCTTAAGGATTTATCTTTTTAAGACAGTTATTAGGAAGTGTTATGGATTGACATTTATAACACCCAGGTGAAATGAGTAAGTGTGGTGCTGGGTGTGGGCGGTCCATCTAGGGACTGTTACCAGCTGCAAAAGAGGCAGAACTGAAGAAGAAGCGAGGCTGTTGGGAAAGGCTGAGAAAGGCTGTTGGGAGCTGGTAGAAGCTATACCGAGCAGTTGGTTCTTTTGGAGGAGCTTGCCATGCTGATGAACTTGGCTGTTTTCATCCTCCGAGGAGCTCACGACCTTGTTTGCACTGAGAATAGCTTTGGTTCATTTTTAGGGGAGCTCTGATCCTCACCTTGAGGATCATTTCCTGGCTCTAGAGGGGAAGTTGGTGCACTACCAGTCTCCTGGAGAAGCTTGCTCTGTTGGCTTTCCTGATGGGAACTCCATCATCCTGATCATTGGAAGAGCTTGGTACCTCACTGTTGCTGAGAATGGCTGTGGTACTTTTTGCAGGGAGCTCTAGTTCTTCCTTTGAGTGTCGTTTCCTGGATCCAGTTCAGATCCCTTAGCTTGCTAGCACAGATCCTTCATTTTGCTGGCATAGACCTTCTAAATTCCACCACAGACCTTTGGGCATTCCCAGGGCAGAGTTGTGAAACAGACCTGCATGAGACCTTGTCATGGGCTCTGGGCCTCCAGTTGGATTTGTGGGAGGCATTGTTATGGTCTCTAAGTCTTCAGCTGGACTCAAGCAGGAAATTATCATGGGATCCAGGCCCTCAGCTGGATTCTTGGTCTATATTATTGGACAGATTTCTTGCACTCTCTTGTATATGATTATTTGGTGACTAGTATAAATAATTTTATAAAATATGTGCCCTGTATTATAATGTTTCTCCTTGCAATAAGCCCCAAGATATAACAGTGGGCTTATCTTAATGATTCAGCGGGTTTACAGCCAGCTGAGACGACACAAACCTGAAGATTTTGTATGATTTACCATCATTGGTAATGGTAGTTCATATTTTTTATCAGAAAAAATAATATTTACACTAATTATTCCATATTATAACTTCTTTTTTATCTTTTATTTTAAGGAGAATAATAATAATAAAAAAGAACAATGGCAAAATACCAAAAACATAGACAAAAACAAAATAAAGGAAAAAGACTAAAAATGATACAGGGTTTCAGAACAAAGTGGTAGGAACTAAAAGTTCTTATTATACTACATATTGTTACCTTCAATGAAGTTGCTCAGACTATCAGATGTAAGAATCCAAGACTGATCAAACATTAAAGAGAATAATAAATAAAAACAAAAAAAATTAGAAAGGATACAGACTTTCATGAGACAAGATGGTAGAAATTCACCAATAGTTGTTATATTGCATATTATTGTCTTTAGATTAGTTGCTCAGATTAACAAATACAAGCTTGCAAAATTGGTTAAAAAGAGAAAAAAGAATTAGGCATTAACTGGTCCTTTCAATAAACCATTAGACATCAGCAGTACAGGTCACAGTAGCTTTGTAGTCAACACTGAAAAATCAATAACATTCCTGTACACAAACAACAGATTGATAGAGAAATTAGTGAAACCACACTTTTCACAATAGCATCTAAAAAATGAAACACTTAGGAATCAGTCTAAAAAAAAAAGAAGTGCAAGATCTGTACATGAAAATTAAAGCACTCTGAAAAAAAGAGATCAAAATGGATTTAAGAAAAAAGAAAAGGTATTCCTTGCTCAGGGATAGGAAGAACCATTGTGAAAATGGCCATACTCCCAATATTGTTTAACAGATTCAATGCAATCCCAGTTAAAATACCATTAGTATACCTCTCAGATCTAGAGAAAGCATTCCTAAAATTCATCTGGAATTAGAAGAGGCCTAAAATAGCAAAAACAATCCTGGGAAACAAAGGAAAGGGAGGAGGCATCACAATTACTTACTTGAAATTATACTACAAAGCTACTGTGATAAAATTAGCATGGCACTGGCACAAAAACAACCTGAAGAACAATGAAACAGATTAGAGGATGCACATACAACTACAAACACACTCAGCCACCTTGTCATCCATAAAGGGGTCAAACATGTTCACTGGAAGAAAGATAGCCTCTTTAATAAATGGTGCTGGAAAAACTGGATTTCCACATGCTGAAGACTAAAATTATGCCCATGTCTATCACCATGCACTAAGTTAAACTTAAGATGGATCAAAGAGCTAAATATTAAAACAGAAATACTAAATCTACTGGAAGAGAAAGTAGGTAAAAATCTTGAAGACATAGGGTAGGCACAGTGTTCATGAACAAAAACCAAATTGCACAGAAATACTTCAAAGAATCAACAACTGGGGTCTCATCTTGTTGAAAAGTTTTGCACATCAAAAAAAGAAAATCAATAGAGCCAAAACAAAACCCATGAATTGGGATACAATTTTAGCTAACTGCCCCTAAGACAAAGGACTTCTAAATAGAACATATAAAGAATTTAAAAAAATTGGACCCTCAATATTTGAAGACCCAGTCCAAAAGCTGGCATCTGAGATGAATATACACTTCTCAGATGAAGAAGTACTAATGGTGAATAAATACATGAAAAAATGTTCAACATTATTAGTCATTCAAGAAATGCCAATTAAATCAACACTAAGATTGCATCTCAGCCCAGGAAAAAATGGCAATCATCAAGAAATAAACCAATCACAAATGCTGGAGAGGATGTGGGGGAAAAGGTGAAACCACCGTGGAAATCAATTTGGAGATTCCTCACAAAACTAGGATTAGAAGTCCCACTTAACCCAACTATTTCCCTTCTGGGTATGTTCCCAGAACAATTAAAAACATCATACCACAGCGATATATGTGCATCCATACTCAGAGCAGCACAATTTGTCATAGCTAAATCTTGGAAACAATGCAAATGTCCATCCACTGAGGAATGGATAAAAAAGATGTGGTATTTTTATGCAGTGGAGTACTACTCAGCTATAAAGAAAGATAAACTTGAAGCTTTTGTAGATGAATGGGTGCAGCTAAAAACAGTACCCATAAGTGAAATAAACTGGACCCACATGTATAAACATATTGTCTTCTGGGTGCGGAAACCTGAAAGAGTAAGTAAAACCCAAAACATACAATAGATTATATGAAAGGGAATGAAACTGCTCAAAGGAAGGAACAACTGGGATGAGAGAAAGAAGAAAAGGAAAGAAAGAAGGAAGGCAAAACATATATGTATATAGAAAGATAGCTGGGATAATTGTACTGGTGATGTCTGATGGTGTATTGAAAAGAGCAGTTAATGCTTAAAAATTTTTTGTATTTTTACCAATTTTGCATGCTTATATTGGGTAATCTTAGCAACTGATGTAAAGATAGCAACAGGCCATAGAACAACCACTGGTGCATTCCTACCATTTTGTCCAATGAAATTCTGTATTGTCTCTAGTGTTTTATTGAATAACTATTTTTAAAATCTCTTTAGTGGTTTGAACAATCTTCCATTCTTACATCTGGTAATCTAAGCAATGTAGTTGAAGATAACATGTCATATAACAATCACTGGTAATGCCTATCATTTTGTTTTGAAGCCCTGTCTCATTTTTAATGTTCTTGCTTTGTTTTGCTTATGTCTGTGATGTTGGTATGTTGCTAATGTTCTTTTTTTACTACTCTCTTTAAAATAAAATAAAAAATATTTAAAGAAGCAAAATGACATTTGTTGATGGACTGAAAGAACAGTATAATTACTAAGGTAAGTACATGCTCTTAGTAGTGCCCATTATGCCTCGTAACTCTGGATTCTATCTTGACATTAGCATCAAATAACGTTTGAGCCTAATAATGCAAGGATTTCTTGAAAGCAGATGTAGAAGCATTGCCCTTTGTAGGAGCTCCATTTTGTTTTAGAGAGAAAAACATGGATCATTAAAAAGCCAATTGATGTTTAGAATTATCTGGGAATATTTGTTAGAGAGACAAATGTCTATTGCAGAGGTAATATCATGAAGAAGTGCCATTGTGAATCATTTTAGTCAAATATTAGCAAAATCTTAGGGCTGTCCAAGACTGGAATTTAAATTATATTGTAACTAAACTTACAATAAACAGAAAGAAGATGCTACAATTGTGCAGGGATTTGTTAGAGGGTACATGCTGAATATTCAGGAAGAAGCTGATTCTGACAAAGATTTAAAGGGAATTTCTATTTGAAGATGATAATAGCTACTCCTACTGGCACACTCTGTGTGATCAGCATGTTCTATTTTAATTTAAATGTATATAGCCAGGTGTGGTGGTGCACGCTTGTAATCCCAGCACTCAGGAGGCTGAGACAGGAGGATCGTTGTGAGTTCGAGACCAGCCTGGGCTACTAAGCGAACTCAAGGCCAGCCTGAACTGCATAACGAGACCCTGTCTAAAATATATATATATAGTTAAGTTTAGTTACCACAAAAATTCCTATAGGGTTACTGATACTATTTTCATTTTAAAGAAAAGAAAATTTCAGCTTAAAGCAGTTAAGTTTTAAACAAGTTGTAAGCATATACTAAGTGGTCAGTCTACAAGTGGAAAACAAGTCACAGGATATGAGACTGTTTTACCTGCAGTGCACAACATAACATTTTCTAAGAATGTCAGTTATGTTTCCTCAGCATCTTGAAAATAGACTTGCTGATTGTCTTTAATCATGAGACAACAGGCCATATTTTTAGTTGAAAGACTGAAATAAGCTTGTAAGATATAGGTGAGCTATAGCTACTTATAAGTTAGATCACCTTAACTCGAACATATTTAGTTAGATAATCAGTGAACATTGTGATCCTTAACTAGTTGTGTCAACGTGAATAACCCAAGTAAAAACCCAAGTAAATTGGTTCAGCACAGCTCTGGGTGCAGAAGGCCCAGCCTAGGGTGGCTTGTGGCCTGGATGGTATGAAGGGGAAATGAAAGATGGCGCTGCTTTTCTTCCTTCAGAGGAGCTCCATTCCTTTCCTTCACCTTGGATGCTGTCTCTTTGCTTCCAGTGCAGTCTTCAGCCTTTCAGCACAGGCCCTTGGGCCTCCTGACACACCCTTGCATGGGACTCTACACTGAATATGGACACTGCCTTCCACTGAATCCTTTGGATCTCCAGCGTGCAGACAGACCTTTCACACTCTTGTACACCTGCTTCACAGGAGGCCGTTGTAAACCGATCTTGTAAGGTCCTATATATTTGTGTATCTTGCATTAAATCTGTTTCTTCAGTAAACACTGATGGATGTAAACACGTTATTTTTGCAAGATAGTCACTGATCTCTTTCTGAAAGTTACAGCAATAGGTCATAGAATTAAGCAATATTTTAGAAAGATAATTAACTCTGAAAAGTGAATATCAAAACCCTGAGAATAAAGGCTAAGTCACAGGTCATTTGGAAGTATGTAAAATCTTTTATCAGAAATTAAAATCTTCAAAATAAAATTTATCATCCGGGTTAGGCATAGTTTTCTTTTTTAGTCAGCTCAACGCTCTGGTAATAATGAAAAACCAATGTTATAAAAATACACAAAGTATTAGATAATATTATCTAAGTTATTTAAATAAAAAATAAGAGCTTACCCTGTTGGGGACCGTAGACGATAAATTGAGTCTAGAGCATGTCTGAAGCAGGTCTTGTTCTGTCCTTTGAGCCAGACTGGAAGGAGGAAACTTCCTGCTCTCCCATCACAGCTAAAGCCTTATGGCTAGTGACACCGGTTCTCACAGGGCAAGATAAGACCTGCTGAGGATGACAGGGGTCTTTAGAGCAATGTAAGAGCAGCAGTAAAAGTTTCACCTGGGCAAAGTGCAATTTCCATATTGCCCCTTGTCTCAACCTTGCAAGAACAGCAAGCAGCCTCTTTCCCTTTACATTATATGCAAACTACCCTCCCCACACCCATGTTCTTAACATTGGACCATGAATCAGTCATAAACTCGAGAAGCCTGCCCCCTTGACTGCGAGAGGTTCTGGGAGAACATCCAGACACAAACCATAACAAGTATAAATAGCATTTTGCTTCGCTTTGCTTGCTTTGTTTGTTTGTTTTTAAGATAAGCTCTCAATGTGCAGTTCAGGCTGACCTTGAACTCACTATGTAGCCAAGGCTGATCTTGAAATTACAGTGATCCTCTTGCCTCAGCCTCCTGAGTGCTGGGATTACAGGCATGCACCATTATTCCCAGCTAAATAGCATTTATACAAATTTACTCTTGTGTTTCAGATTGTACTAATACATGTGAGAAATTTTAGAAATCCTTCTATATGAAGGGACTGGTACATTTTAGACATCTTAATGGCTGAAATTAGCTTTTTGTCAAACAAACTAGTTTGTCAAAATTCAAGACTTTTTGTTGACTTGCACAAAAAAGTATATTTAAATTAATCTGATAGCCTGTAAATATCAAATCTGTTATAAAATACAGATTTCAGCTGGGCCTGGTGGCTCATGTCTGTAATCCCAGCACTGGGGAGGTTGAGGCAAGAGGATCATTGTGAATTCATGGCCAGCCTGGGCTACAAAGTGAGCTCAAGGTCAGCCTGAACTGCATAGCAAGACCCTGTCTCAAAAAGACAAAATAAATAAATAAATAAAATAAAATAAAATAAAATAAAATAAAATAAAATACAGATTTCTGGTTCACCTTAAACACAATTGGAAGATCTGGCAATAGTGCACACTAATTTTTGTGTGTCAAAACTTTGTTGGAGCTGCATAAATACTGCTTTGTTAGGTTAGGTTTATGCAGGGTGGGAGGTCATACTCAATACTTTATCTTATCTTTCACTCTATTTTTTATTTTTTTTATTTATTTATTTTTCCACTCTATTTTTTATGTTGTATTATTTCATTATCTAAGTCATTTGCCTGGTCCAATCATTCAATTTTGTGCTTTCTATTTTATCATCTTTTATTTATGTAACAGTGTTTTTGCTTTATTGCTATTTTTAAATAAATCAGTAGTATAAATTAATAAATCAGTAGTATAAATTTACAGGTTCAAAGTTTCTTTCTACAATATATGAGAGCATCATAGAGGTGATATCTAGCATCTCTTCTGGTTGTTATTTTCTGAATACTTTATCCCTCTTTTTACTCCTTTTCCTGGTCTCCTATGTGCTCACTTTCTTGTTAGATTTATTATACATAAGTTCAGCTATTACCTTTATACTTCACCTACATTTCAAGCTTGCATAGCTCAAATGCATCCCTCAATATTAGAAAGGGTTTTAGATGAACATGTTCTATGCCAAAAAGTCCTATGACATCTTCCACTGAGTGTGTCTTGCTATTCACACAGGGCTGTCATAACATTTCTGTTTGTTCCCTTCTCATTTTACTCTTTGGAAATGGCAACCCTTACGGGTGAAGCCTGGATTGCTTCCTACTTTGCTCCTTATCTGTCACTGTGCTCTGATGCTTTCATGGCACCTTACATCTTGTTTTATCATTTTTTGTTTTTTTGGTACCAGGAATCGAATTCAGGGCCCCACACTTGCCAGGCACGCACTGTTCTGCTGAGCTACATCCCCTGACCAGCTTCTTAAAAATCTTAAATCTTGAGCTTTTCCATTCTTCTTGGAGAAGCTTGGTACTCTTTCCTTGATTATGGTTTAACTTTTATTTACTGTTGCATACCGCTCAAGTCAAATTTGTAAGTATACTGATTAATTTTATACATAAATATATGTGTGTTTTATAATTAGTGGTTTTTTTCCTTATGAGTTACTTGTATTCATATCGTGCTAGGTCTGCAAGGAAGGAGACACTTTTAACTGTCACATATGTTTTGCATTGCTTAGAAAACTCAACCCAATTTCTACGGTATTTCTGGATTTTTCCCCTGACATTCATTTTAACATTAAGATCTTACTGTGCCAGAAGGAAATCCAGTAAAGAAGTAACTAAATGACTGCAATGTCCTCGATCAATGAAGAAAAGCCCTGGCTGCCCATTGTGCCTTTGTCTGCTCGCTCCAGACTGCCAAGGCCGCTGGCAACATTGTGCGTATGATTTCTGAGAAGATGAACCCAAAAGACCGTATGTGCTACCAACCCATTCAACATTTCCTTCTCATTTTCTCAGCAAAATGTTTTAAATATTATGCAATGAATGCAGTATTTCCTTGGGCCTTTCTTGCCAAGGGTGTTTGTTATAGATGGTAAACAGAAGAGCACTATTTTAATGAGTACCATTGAGCACAAGGAGGTATACATTTTGATAGTTGGTATTTTAGGAACACTAACCACTCTAGAAAAGCAATTCATCCATCATCTCTGTAAATGTTCACAAATCAAGTCCTCTAGGGCCCTCTGTGCTTCTTCACCCAGGAACCTGCTTCTTGCTGGGCTTCAGTTTCCTTTCTTGCCACCAGCTTTTGTAGCTTAGAGAAAAACATTTACTCAACTGAAAGGCAAAAGAACAGCAAACCTACAAATAAAACAAGAATAAAAAAACATAAACCCAAACCTAGATAGCAAAAGTCCAATGACGTTGTTGCAATATTTTTTCTTTTAGAAGTAGTCATTAGGTAACTGTACTATCTCCAAACCTTTGCATAGCTCTTCATGGTTTACGGAACACAAGTCACACTCCTTAGGAACACAGCACGTTTGCCCCTCAAGACTGCCATCTCTGTTTTCCTCTGCTCTCCTCTCCATTTACTCTTTTCTTTGTCTTCTTCGTGATCCACCTTGGATTCGCTGTTAGTTACTTGTTTCTCATTTCTGAGGCTCCAGTGTTCCTTTACATTTTGCTTAGAATTCTTTTTTTGTGTTAGGTCAACCTTTCTTCATCCAGATTCCATTCCGGACCCATGGCTTTGTTAAGACTTCCTCTTCTTCCCCTAACCATTGCTTAAATAAACTCTCTATCCCCCTGCTGCCTAGCATACCTTATTTCAGATTTCCGTAACATTTTTTGCTTTTCAAAGCAAGTTGGCGGAACACGTAGGTGTTCCCACATAAACGCTTTGCTTGATCTCCTGTCTTCTATTTATTGCTGCATTCTGAGCAACTGGTGGAAACCCTGGCAAAGTGATATACTAACATGAGCTATATTTCACTCCGATCCTTCAGCAGCCTTCATGCCCACCTGTTTTCAGCAACTGACATGCATGGCTCCTTCTAGGATCTAGTCATTATCCAGAAATCATTTTGTTTCTCATTTTGAAATTTCCATGTATTATAAATCCTGAATCTGGAAGTTTATGACATCGCTCATTATCAGTAGGCCTGATCGTTGCCCTTTTCTGTTTACTACTTCTGATATTCAAGTGCTTTTTAGTGTTCTGATGCATTTGTACAACAAGTGGCTTCTCTCCCTTCCTCCCTCAGTCAGTGATTAGTCATCCCAACACAGGTACAGTGAGCCCGCGGCACCATCCCTTGATGTGTTGGTGTCACTCTGCAACTATCTCGCCACACACCTCCTTGCGGAGAAAACCAGAACTTACATCATGTGTAGCATAATTGTTATTCATGAGTGATTTCATTTTACATGTAAGTGGTATAAATATATATAAATATATATATATATATATATTACATATAAATGATTCCTACAATTAAGAAAGTTAATGTGTACATCTCTGGCTTTGTAAGTTTTCATTGGCCAGGTCTGTGTTCTAGCATATTTTAAATGCTTGCTTTGATCATGGTTTTTTCCTTTTCATTTCTGGCATAGTCAAATCTATATGAACACCTCACATAGTTACTTCTTTTTCACCTTGAGGTGAGAGTATCTAAAATCTACATTCAGAAAATTTCCATGACGCAATCAAATACAATATTAATAGTCACATAGTCCTTGTGCTGCACATTATATCTCTAGACTTATTCATTAACATGCTTAAGATTTTGCATCTTTGATGGATGCATCCCTACTTCATTCTCAAAATTAGTAGCCATCATTCACCTTCTGCTTCTATACATCCAACTTTCAATAGATTCCACATATCAGTGAGATTGTACAATATTTTTCTCTTTGTGTTGGGCTTACTTTTTTTAATCTCAAAACACATAACTACTTCTTTTAACATCAGGTGAGACTCCAGTCTTTCACCTAACTATAAAATTTAACTTCAGTTTCTTGACCTTGTATCTCAAAATGTGAATTATAATTACTCATCTCCTATCCTTTATTCTCTTGTCTTTTGAAAACTGGTGCATTTCATATGTCTTAGCTTTTTGACCATGATCACACTCCTATTGGGTCTTGTGCCATCCATGTATTTCTACCTGTTAGGAATACTACAACTCTTTCTCTCCATTGGGGTCTTTCTTTCTAGGTAATGATTATTCCTTGTCCTAACTCCATTTTCCTATGGCTTTGTTGTGCCTATGCACATGGTACATGGCACATCGTACCTATGTAGATGGTCACTGTCTCATAGATTTTCTTCTCTTCTGTGTATTTCAGAACAGCCATATATTGTTGCCTTTATTATATACTGTTGCCATATATATATACTGTTGCCTTTAATTATTGACAACTTACTTCCTAATCATTTAACGTGTATAAATGGTTAAATTGATGATAATGTTTTATGCCCCCAAATCATTTCCTGTTTCCATCCTACTGCACATCTTTATAGTATTGTTACTGTTGACCCCACTTGCTTCTTCTAGCAATGCAGAATATCAGACGTGTGAGTGACCCTGTATTCCCTGCTGATATGCTGTAGCTGGGCCTGTTTCTATGTGTTCTACCAGCACACTTGAATTCAATTCTTGGACAATTTCTTTTCTTATTTGATATTCTTACCCTAGGGTATTTCATTTACTATATTAGAGAAAAAATCTCTTTAACTGTACTTTTGACCTCTTCTTTAAATATAAAATTGAATTCACACTTTCTGGATTTTTTAAACTTATGATGATAACTCCATTTATTACAACATTAATTGAGTATTCTCTTTCTAATTTCAGTTTGTTTTTTGTTTGTTTTGGGTTTTGGGGGGTATGTGGTATCAAACTCAGGACCTCATGCTTGTCAGGCAGGTGCTGCACTGCTGAGCTATATCCCTGGCCTCTTCAGCTTATTCTTCTATCTTGCTTTATAACAAGTATAACTTTTCAGTCAGCCAAACACAGTCTATGCAGTCATTTCCCAAATTTTTTGCATTGCTCATATTTTAATACGGTTGCCTGAGATGTTCACCACCATTCTTCTACTTAAGGTTATCAACATGTTTGTCCTAAGCCTCTGTCTGTTACACAACCACCTCATAAGGTTGCCTTTACTAGGTAACCTAAATTATTATCATAAAGTCAAAAGATTTTATGTTTCCATTTCAAATCTCTACTATCTTTTCCTGTTTTTTTCTTTTCCTGTGAGTTGTGTCCCACTACATCCCTGAAATTCACAGGCATTCATGACCTGACTCCATGAAATCTCTGTGACAGTGACTTATGTTCTACACCTTGTATCTGTCCTTTCCTTTTTCTTCAGGTCTATGTACTTTCAGTTGAATGTGTTATTCTTATTTAATCAAGTCTCAAATTCCTAGTCATTTGTTAAGGTTCAACTAAAGTAACAGGTCCATATACTCCCCTGTCTATACTAGAACAAATGCCCATTTCTCCTAGGCATAAATAAATTATGTGCATTGAAGCCAAAATGCTACAGTAAAAGTTAAATTTCAGAACAAAATCACAGTAGAATTCAAACATGAGCTCTGGGACTTACATTTGCCATTAAGAAATAATGTCATTTTGAGCATATTTCTTAAGGTTTTGTCTCATTTTGCTTAATGTAAACAAGGAGAAAAGTGCCACCTCAATCCTTGTGAAAATTCTACATGATGACTACAAAGTCCTTAGTGCCTAATGTAGGCAAAATTTTAAAAAATAGCCATTGTTTGACCCACAGTACCAAAAAAAAAATAGCCATTGCTATTATTCTTATTGGAATATAAAGGGATAATCAATATTTATCAGGAAATTAAATCCTCAGGACACTTTGCAAAATTTGTGTCACAGTTTTACTGAGAATTTTGCCTACTCCCACCACCCGTATCCCTTTTCTAATTTGTTCCATTTTAGTTAAAAGTTTATTCTCTTGTCTACAAAGTATTTATTGGATTGAAGGATTTAGTTTTCCCAGATCTGACAGTGCTGAGAGCTAAGCAGCTTGCCCCTTGACTAACTGATTACCACATTCTTACCACCTTGTCTCTCCCTGTGAATAAAACACTGACTGTCCAGAAGTAGCCTTTGTGAGGCCCTGTAAATGTCTGGTGCCCACCCAAAATGGCCGCACTAAGGAGGTCTACTGTCCCACTAGACCCTAAAGAGACTTAATGTATCCACCAGAATTTAGGTGCAAAGGCAATGCCTTCCAGTAATTGTTTTAAATTATTAGAAAATTGCATTTCCTTAATGTTTCCTTTATCAGCTATGAATTGCTTCCTTGTTATAAGAATATCCAGAATTTCTGGGGACAGATAAATGACAGAAATCACTTTGTCCTCATGTGGACTTCTTAGAATTGAAGTATACCATTGAATTTGTTTCAAACCACAAAATTAGCATGTCATTAAATTCAGTATATATAGCCGCAAAAGCAGAGATACCATCATCCACCCAGCTCTGCCTTCACTTCTTGTCCTCCACTTTGGAAAAAGGGTAAGGATTTCAGATATAAATTCAGTGTGAATTTATGCCAAGCTGGATTGAGCTGCAGGAAGAACATAATTGATTAAAATATAATATTTGGAATAAGGATAATTAAGGAAGTGCTGAGACTCTGTTTAACAATTATGTTTAAAATGGAATTGTTTAGAAAGGTTTGGTAAAAATTATAATTACTACAGACTTCAGGAGTCTAACAGAATGTAGGAACCAATTATATGTAAAAATGTTTATACATGTAATCATATATTATATATGTAATAATATACATATTATTATTTGTTATATTGTTATACTTATTATATTTTGTGTTATATATATATGATTATTTCAAGGCTAGTTACTAGATTTGACAGATTGAAGTTGATTTGTGAATTAAATCTTCCAATTTGATTCAACATATCCCAGCCATAAAAACAAATGCATTTAAGTTGTAATATTGGGAGATGCATACTTATTGGGAAAGCTTTCTCCAACAGGTAGTTAGAGTGGTAGCATACTGACTCAAAAAATAGTATGGTTTGGCAATATGCACTTTTTCATGAGTTTATAAACAATGTTTTAGAAGAAGAATGTATATATATATAACTTGCCTGGAATCTTCTACTTCCCAGTTTACAATCTGTTTGAAAGAATTCTAAAATGAAGACAACCTGAGACTACTGAATTAACATAAAAATAAAATGTTCCACTTTAAAAGCATTAACTTGGAAACAAAAAATAACAATAACCAAAAAGAAAAGAATAGATTTGTGAAGGAAATTAGCTTATAGAATATCAGTCAGTAGTGACGTTCTGGCTTAAAAATTGCTGTATAAAATACTAAGAATAAAATGTAAAAAATGTGGCAAAATTTTTTTATACATGAAGTAATTTATAGGATCTAGACTACCACATATTTTTCTGGATCTTGACAAAAATTATTTAGAAAATTCTGAAGGTCTTAGGCAAAATAAAATTCTAAATAATTATATAAAAATGTATTGTAAAAAATGGGTCTTTTCTCTGACATAATTACTTCAAATTCTATTTTATATAGGCTTTTTTTTTTTGGTACTGGGACTCGAACTCACACCTTGTGCTTGTCAGACAGGTGCTGTGCCGCTGAGATAGATCCCCGGCCCTATATGGGCTATTTTGAAGACAAAGTAGAAATGCTTTTTATGAATTATTTTTAGTTTAGAAATTTATTTTAAAAATATGAGAATGGGTATTGAATGTCGACTGATATTATGGCATAGCATTATTTTTTGAAATAAATCATGTAAAATTTAATACACACAAGAAAAGAAGTCATGTTTTGGTCAGAAGTATGCTTTGGTCAGAGGGGCTAGTATTTATTTCACAAGAGGTAACCCAAGTGTAAGCGGTGAGCAGGAGAATGTGACCTTTGAATAAATCATCGCAGGTCACACAGCATATTTAAATAGAGAGAAGAGAAGAGCAAACAAGCTACCAGCCCAAAAAAGCATCTGGATAGTGAAGCAAATAGATGAAATGTTAAAATAAAGATGTCACTCTTACCAGAAATGAAAAGATATGATTAAACTAGACTTCATGACAATTATCTAGTTTAAAAAAGATAGAGAGAAAAATTGGATTTCTTTTTACACAGTTTTTGGTCAGTTTCTCCAGGAGAACTGAGGCTTCATTAGTGCAGACACCTTAGCATTTTGTTCACTCTTTTACCCTTAATATCTAGGCAGTGTCTAACAATTAAGGTACCATACTCATATTTTCAAACAGATGAATTAATACATTTTTCTGTAAATATTTATTATTTCTTTACACCTTTTTTATTGTGAATGAAATAAAAAAAAAAAGCGAAGATAGTGAGCTGAAAAAAATCAAAATGGCTACCAAGAAAGTTCGAGTTTGATATTTAGGAGTAGGAAATGACAGGTTGCTCTTTAGTCATATAATCATATAATACGTTTATGCCTTATATACTAATCATATGTATTCCAGAAAGCAGGCATTTTTATAAAATTACGTATCTTCAATTTTGTTTAAAGAAAAAAGTGACTCTACCTAAATAACAAAATGTATCTGATTGCTTCTCTCTCCCATGCTCCCTTTCCCACCGCAGGGCTCAGCCATGAAGTTGCTCCTCCTCCTCGCCTGCCTTGTGCCCCTCGCTCTTGCAATGGAGGTAGGTGCAGAATGTGGCCACACAACTAAGACAGATGGGACAATATGCCTACTTCTGAGAGAGAATGGTACCACCAACACTTCTTGATGTGAAAATCAAGTAGAATTTCAGCAGGATTTTTTTTTTCTGTGAAAAATCACTAACATTCACCCCTTGACTTGACAATTTCTTGTACTCTTAAAACTTGGACAAAAGCTTTCACACAAGCAAGAAATGGACACACGCACACAAGAAAAAAAGCTAATAGAGCACTGGCCCACGCCCTGCTGTGTCTACCTGGACATATCCAAGAGATGGAGTAGAGCAGCAATCAAACTAATAATCATAAATATACTTAGAATCAGAAGAGGAAGAGTTAATATAAACTAACTTGTCTTCTGTGATCCATCAAAACCTATTCTCAGTTCATGTAATAGAGACATGTATCAATTAAAACTTATTAAATGAAAAAGATAATAGAAGAGTCACCTTAAGTTTCTAAAGGGCATATATTTTTATTTTACTTTTCAAATTTGGCAAAAGGTTATAAAAATTAATAAGAAACATCAATAAGTTAGCTATAGACACTGAAATGGTGGTTTGTTTTTTTTCTTTACAGAAGGAAGTACTCAGCATACCTGTTGAGGTAAAATTATTTTTGAGGAAATCTTACAACAATAAAATAGTAAAATTTTCTCATGATTAAAAGAGCTAGTGATATATACATATTTTCTCTTTCTTTCTTTCTTTCTTCTTCCTTTCTTTCTCTCTCTCTTCTTCCTTTTTCTTTCACAGACTTCAGAAAGCAGTGAGGTAAGACCATAACATTTCAGACACAACTTCTCACTTTTAAAAAAATAAACTTTCCTTGTGCCTATTATTTAAATCAGGGTTTAAAGGTTTAAGTTTAAAGCACTATCTTCTGACATGAATTCCCTTGCAAATTTCCATTATGGATGTTTAAGAACCAAGTAAATGTGGGAGAATTTAGTATTTTTAAACATTCCAAGTTGACCCATACTTGAAATTTTGCCTTTGTCCCCTCATTGTTTTGAGTTATCTTGTTCTGTTGACTTGAGTTGTACCTACATTCCTAGCCCTTGTTTTGTTATTTTGAGATGGGGTCATGCTAAGTTACTCCCACTTGGCTAGAACTTTGGATGCTCCTTCCTCAGCTTCCCGGTGTGCTGGAGATTACACATGTGCGATCGTGTCGGTATACATTTGCTTTTAACATACACTGAGTGGCCTTCTGTGGATTACATGTTGACTATAAATGTTGATGCAAGTTAAAGGGATATGAGGGATGCAGTCTTATGGAGTGGGTTAGAAGACACCAAAAGGACACATTTTGTCATTAGTTGCTTTAGGAAGAACCAGAGTCAGGGTAGTCCTCAATCGAGCTGGAAGAGGCAGGTAGATGTTTGCCCTTGTACCACTCGAAGTGTGTCATCATCAGTGTAGTAAACGACAATGTCCCTTGTCTCTTCAAAAAGACTACATGCTCTTTGGAGGAAATATTTACTTCTGATAGTTTATTTGACCACTAATTGTCACATGAACAAAGAATCAATTATTAGTCTGTATTTTTAAATTTTTATTAGTACGTTTGTTGTACATAATAATTCCATTCATTGTAGGGAGCTAGTACATAAAGATAACACAATTCATTTTATGTCCCCTTCTTCCCATTCTTTCCATATTTATCCACTTTTTAGTCTGTATTTTCATTTTTGTTTTTGGTTTTTCAAATCAGATGGGGCTATAGAGGTCATTTTTGGTTAGAGAAAGGAGCAACGCAGTAGAGAGCAGTTAACATCCATTAGATGCCGCTTTTCTACTATGTTCACTAATTTTCTCGTTTCTTGACTGCATTCGTCTTTCATTGACACAACTTTATACAGCACACGTTATAAGTTTCAACAATTATACGAAGTTATGAATGACATTATTGAATGATGGTGTCCACATTAACCTATTAAATCCCTTCATTTTGAAAAATATATTGAAAAATAAGAATTATTCATTAAAACTAAATGCCATTCTATTTTTTTTGAAGGAATCTGTTACACATATCAAGGTAAAAACTTCATATTAAATGCACATGTTTTCAATATTAATGGTGTTTGACTTTTATAGATGATAATATTTTTCAATGTATGATTTGATTTTAGGAGAAACTTCAACAGATTAAACATGAACAGCACCAAAGACAGGTAAATTGTTTATGATAAGTATATTTTTAAATGATTAAGTATATAGTATATACAAACATATTTGTAATGTATATGTTCAATCTAAAAAATGGTAGTAAGTCTACCATGACCCACCAACCTGTGTAAGAAATTAAACATTGGTAAAACCCATAAACTTGCTAAATCATAAATTTTTTAAGTTCATAATTTCAGAATAGAGATTAAATACCTAATGGTGTTGCTGATGCTATTATTTGCTATTAACAGACACACACTGACATAACCATGTCCACACTGCAACCTGTGCTTCATTTATTCTCAACGTGAATATGATGAATGGGGAGAGGAAATAAAGGCAGTCTGGCACAAACCCTCCACTGATTGTTTAACAGAGGGATAACAGCCTTGAGATTCTTTGTACTTTATTTTCTTCATCTATAAATTCAGTGTTCTTAAGATCTCACAGGCTTGACGAGCTGGAGGCTAGGGCATATTCAAAGGTCTTATGTTAACATCCATCATAATGTTCTACAGAAATTGCCGCTGCACAGGGAAGAGAGTGAGGCTCGGAATCACCGAGTACACAATTCTGTGCAATCACGTTGCACAGTTAGCCGCTTGCTTAGAAATTATGAGTTTTCAAATAATATAAAATTCTGCAAGTGACTTACATTAATGGTCATATACTTATTGAACTGTAGTATGTTAATGTCTCATTCTATCAGTGGATATTCTCGTGTTTGCCTAAAATACTTTCTAAATTAAATTAAGATGTAAAAATAGATGCTTTTTTAAAGATTCAAGAAAATTCCTTTATACCAAGGAAAATAATGCCGGCACTTGGCCAGCGTTACGAAGGTCTCGCTTTAGAGCTGCCGGTCAGCCTTTTCAGACCAGCTGTGCGCAAGCACAGCAGCAGAGCGGTCTGCGGCACCCGCGCGGTCCACACCCGCGCGCTCCCCGCACACCCGCGGGCGCAGCGAGAGAGAGAACCGAACCTTTGTCCGATTCCCGAACACTGATTTCACACTGCGAGGTGCATTCGCCCGCGACGCGAACGCTCTGAGGAGAAATACTGCACAGGACCCAGGAACAAGTCTTAAGCGCGCCAAGTCGCAGACCTTCCCGCCTCCTCTCCGGGTGGTGGTCGACTGACACTGCGATCGGGCGGGTGGCGACCCAGGCCGCTGCCCTGCCCTTCTTCCAGGACCAGCGCCAGCCCCCGGCCCCCTACGCCGCGCCCGTGCCCTACGCCGTCCCGGCTCCGAGCCTCCTGCCCGCGCCCCTGCAGCTGCTGCAGCCCGAGGTGATGGCCAGCCTCCCCCGGGCCGAGCCGGCGCCCTTCACGCCCGCCGCTTTCCCCATCCCCGTCCCCGGCGTCCTCGGCCCGCAGATCCCGGGCGTCCTCGGCCCGCAGATCCCCACGCTGCCCCTGCTCCCGCCCGCCGTGCCGCAGCTGCCCCCGGCGCTCCAGGTGCCCGCGCTCCAGGTGCCCGCGCTCCAGGTGCCCCCGGCGCTCCAGGTGCCCGCGCTCCAGGTGCCCCCGGCGCTCCAGGTGCCCGCGGTCCAGGTGCCCCCGGCGCTCCAGGTGCAGGCGCTCCAGCTGCCCCAGGCGCTGCAGCTCCCCGCGCACGCGCAGCCGGTCCAGCAGACGCACGCGCCCAACCGGCTCCTCCTGCAGCTCTACCGGGCCCTTCAGGCCCAGCCCGCCCTGAGCGCCCCGGAGCACGGCCACGCCGCTGTAAGTGCGCGCGCTCGCGCTGCGTCCGCAGGGGCTGCACGGTGCCGGCACACGCGTGGTGTGATGCAGACAGTCACACGGTGTCTTTGTGGGAGCTCTCCTAACCCCCAGTTCCCGCGGGGAGTTCTGATGGCAACACTCAGGTTAGGCAGAAGCCACTGCTGGGAGGAAATGATGGCAGAGATTCTGATTTAATTGGTCTGCTGAAATTCTAATGGAAAGACTGCCAGGCCTTACTAAAGCTAGAGCAGAATTTGGCCGTCTGACAGTCTTGAGAATGAAGACTGGTTCTCCTCCAGAGTTTTAACACGGTGCTAGTGCACACGCGTGCCCCACGCTCTAGTGCGGATCTTGTCCTGACCGTGTGTGCAGGAGAGCGAAAGTGAGAGGATTCACTACTTCAGACCTCCTGTAGGCGGGTGTTCTTGCTAAGACTTAAATTGTATGTTTGCTTATTCTGCATCTTTAATTTTAAGGTCTAAGAGGATTTCAAGATCAATGCTTCCACGTCATATTTTGGTAAGTGACAATTTGGAGATTATATTGATGGTTGTTATAGTAGATATCTTTGCATATTTTATTCCTTCAGGTAAACCTAAAGATATTGTCCAGTCCGTTCAGTATATTAGTTTATTATGTTTGTTCTTTAGTGAATGATTATTTTACCAATGTGAAATTATACATATTTTATATTTCAAAGAAATTTAATTTTATTTATGTACTGTTCATAGATTTGATTTGCTTGCCAGGTCTGTGAATTTACATTTAATTATCATTTTTAGGAAAAAAAAAACAGATGTAGATGTATTTGAGCTTTTGTTAAAGGCTTAGTTTCATTATTATTTCTAGCTTGGGTTTCATAATTTTTTATGTACTTCACTTAAAATCCTTTTAATTTGTGAATCAGAATACAATTACTCATTCCAGTGTAAGGATTCAAAAGGAGCAAGCAAGTAGCTTTGATATCCTGAGACTCTGTGACCATGGTAGACAAGGTGCTTCATCAATTAAGTGAGCTGACATTTGACCTGATAGGAACTTTGTATGACTACAAGGAAAGGTGTAATAGAAAGCATTTGTATTACAATTCCTTTTATTATACAAATCTTATCAAAATTACAGGTAGGGATAGGTGAATACTTGTATTATATAACAACTAATTCAATATTTGCTTTGCTCTCTATTCCACAGAATTGACTGAAACTGGAAATGTGGCATCTTTTCTTCGTGTTATATTACCAAAAATCACTGATTTTTAAATGAATTTACATGAAAAAATGAAACTTTGTTGTTTATGTTGGGTATTATGTGACATTCACTTAATTCGAATTTGAACAGTGAACTCGTTACCTTTTCCAAATTGTAAGTTCAGTATTGAGCTGGAAATACTGTAAGCACATCAAAAATGTTATACACATTTCTGGAACTGGATTTGCTATTATTTCTTTAGGAACCTATTTCCATTCTAGTCATTTCAATAAATTAATCCTTTAGGCATATTTAAGCTGTCTTGTTTTTAACATTAATATTCACAACCAATTGAATCTAGCACTCGGGAGGCTGAGGCAGGAGGAATGCTGTGAGTTCGAGGTCAACTTGGCTTACATGGTGAGACCCTCTGTCAAAAACCAAAACCAATCAACCAGACGAGCAATTGTAGTTTAGTCTGAAAACTAATCAATATAGACTATCATATCAAAATAATAAAGAAAAAAGATCTAACAGGTTCTGCAGATGAAAGACTGGGCAAAATTTAGCACCAATGCACAATAAAAGCTTCGCAAACTAGAAATGGAACTTCCTCACCCTCATGAAGAACACCTACATGAAAACATAACTAATGGTGAAACCTTCATACTTACGGGCAAAATAGTAAAGATTTTCCCTGAGATCGACAGAAAGGTGCCTGCAAGTTGCAAGGGTGTCTGCCCTCATTTCCTTTTTGACAAAGTCAGTTTCAGCCAGTGCAAAAAGTCAAGCAATAGAAATATAAAGCACACACTTTTTCTGTACTTGTAGATAATAAGATAATCTAGGTAGCAAATCAAGAAATCTGTGAAAATATTTTGGAACTGATAATCAGTTTATTATAATTTAATATTGTGTTTGCAAGATAAATTATCAGCAACCAAAATCAAAATAAACACCATTTATAACTACTCCCAAAATGAACAACTTACAAATATAAGACCTAAATGTGAAATTATAAAATGCTAATGGAAGAAGTGAAGAATATCTAAGTAACTAGAGCAATGCACTCTTTATAGATTGAAAGGTATTAATACAGGAAGATATCAGTTATTTCCAGATTGATCTCTTAAGGCTCGGTGCAACTTAATTTTTTGTAGACATAGATAAGTTTATTCCAAAATTGACATGGAAAAGAGAAGGTCCTGGAACAGATAAAACAAGTTTGACAAGAGAAGAAAATGGGAAGAATTATTCTTTGAAATGTGAGGCCCCACTATGTAGCTACGGTAATTGAGACTGCACTACATGTGAAAGGCTGGATACATAGACCAGTGGAACTAATTGGAGAATCCATTAATAGACCTACACAAATACCCTAAATGAAATTTTGACAAAGGTGGGAAAGCGGTTTGTAAGATAGTGACAGGTTTTTTAACAAATAATGCTGGAGCAACTGGACATCCCTAGGCAACATCATGAACCTCAGTCTAAACTTCATACCCCATAGGATGATTATACTAAAATGTCTAGGTTCTTTCTGTCCTGAACAAAGAATAGGTCAAGACAAGTGTAAAAGGTAGTAAGGTTTTACATTTTTTAAAGGGATGGAAAAGCAAAAATGCTCTGCAGAGTGAATGTGGGCCAATTAAAAAAAGGAAAAGAAGTACACTCCACAGAGTGAGAGCAACTCCTGCAGAACAGACAGTACAGTGGCCAAGAGCTCAGCCTTTCGAGTTCTCAGGAGAAGAACTGAGGACAGTGCTCTCAGACTGATTCAGGTGCAGGGCTTTGGGCATTGTTTTACACATCTGTCCTGGAACTTTGTAATTAGCAGGTCATATCCACTTGTCCAGCCAGTTTTCCACAACCTAGTCACCTGCTTCGTTTCCCCTGATAGACATGAAACCTGCCAGAAGTCCATAAGAAAGGGCTTAGTGTCTATAATGAAGTGCTATTGAGTTGCTGTTTGATGGGAGAAAGCTTGGTGAATTTGTCCAGAAAGTAACTTTACTACAGTAAGTTCCTGTCTTAGGAATGAGCTCTATTCAGAGATGATTATTTGTAAGTTGGCTTTGTTCATAAACTAACAAAGTGAGTCTTATCTAGTACACCTGTGAAAGTTCACAGCTTGAATATATTATGTTGGGCATGTAGAGCCCAAGTATGAGAAGAAGAAGGTCAAATTTTCATGTTTCCTGGGGAGGAGAAACTGTGGCAAAGAAATAGACAAATCATCAGGATCCTGAGAGCCATAGCCTTACCAAGATTACCAACATTATAGATCTAGTTAAAAGTTGAAGTCTCAGTGTAAGTGCTTGTTTAACCGGTGGTGAATTAGTGCCATCAGTGACTCCATTTATCTACATCCAGAGCAATACTGGAGCACTGCTATTTGAGAGCAGGTTCAGGTCTTCCAGAGGTTCACAGGAGTAGCTTTCTTCTTTTGGGTGATCTTTTTCTTCAGACAGTTCAAATAGAGTTTGCTTCACCTAGAAAGATGAATTGAGCTATCTATCTCTGACACTTTTACTGCAAGGGGTATGGCAAGGCCCACTGAAAAGGGAATCTTCTGTTTTGGATTTAAGTGTTCTGCAAGAGTCCCTTCGTTCTGAGTTTTAATGATGTCCCCCTGAGGGGCTGGGGATTTAGCTCAGCGGCAAAAGCGCCTTCTTGGCAAGCGCAAGGTCGTGAGTTCGGTTCCCGGTACTGGAGAAAAACCAAAAAAAAAAAAAAAAAAAAAAAAAAGATGGTCCCCCTGGACCATGAGCTGGTTGGAATTTGTTCCCAAACAGTTGGATAGCTTGTACTTGGTCTAGATTAAGATATTATGAGTCTCAGGGTCTCTTGGTCTATTACCGTATAGGAAGATAGAAAATAGAAAAGACCTCCCATATAACATCTCAAATGGTCTTATATTTAACCCAGGTTTGTGTTCCAACTCTCCTGAAAGTTATTAATAATGAGGGGAGCCAAATCTTGGAAATCCTTCAGTAAAGTTTTGCCAGAGTTTGCATTAGGGTCTCAGTGGCTCTAACTACTTTCCTGAAGGACTGAGGTCTCCATGTAAAATGGAGATGTTACTTTATTCCTGAACATTTTTCCACCCCCTGAGTTATTTGAGAGGTAAAAGGAGGCTCCTTGTCACTCAAGGGTAGTCCAAACCAGAGAATGATTTCTTTGGGGAGCACCTTGACTACCACTATAGCATTTTTGAACAAGCAGGGAAGGCCTCAATCCAGCCTGTAAAGGTATCAATTAGGACTAGTGTTTGTTTGAATCCCTCACACGATGACAAGTCGGTAAAGTCTAATTGCCGGTTATCTTCAGGGTATGTTCCCTCTCCTCTATATAAGTTCTAACAAGGGAGGTGGTTTGGGCTTACTGGGGTTATTGTAAGCACAGAGTGGGCAAGCTTTGCAGACCTGTCAGGTGGTTACTGCTAGTCCCAGTCCTGTGAAAATTCTACTGATTATTTCCAATAGAGCCTCTTTTCCCATATGGAATTGTGAAGGGTTTTTATAACCTTCTACTGTGTTTCTTGAGAAGGACCACTTTGTTTTCTAAATACTAGCAGAGTCTGCTTTTAATCCATCCACTCTTGTCCTAAGGAAGATATAGATTGGTTTTAATGGTTCTTTAGGAACTGGGAATAAAGCTAGGGTCCTGAGGGGCTGTGAGCCTGCTTGTCTTGCTTCTCTATCAACCTTTCAACTTCCCAAACAGACTTTAGGCGTGTATTCCTGTTTTCCTTAGAATGACACCAACTTGCTTGGAAAAATAGACTGCCTCCAGAAATTTCCTGCTTATATTGTATAGATGATTGCTTATTAGTTAGTAAGCCCCTTTCATTCTAGTTTGTGACATGGGCATGTAGCACCAGAAAGGCATATTTAGCATCTGTATAGATATTTAGTTTTTTGCTTTTTCCTAATATCAATATCTGAGTGTAATTGTTGATATAGTGTGTCAATTTGAGAGTTTGGAAGTTTAACTAAGCAACTCAGCAGTGGGCCAGAGTCCTCACTTTGTAAACATCCTCCTCCTGTGCAAGAGGAGGGCATGGAGATGGTGTGAGGGCTATACCTGCCCTTGGGGAGGTAGCCTGCATAAAATATAAGGAAGGAAAAGATACTTGCTCCCACCTGACTTTGCTCTTGTTGCTTTTGCTGTCTTCTACTGTTTTGAACTGTTGCCCTGTGCCCTGCCACCCTGCCTTGGAGCCAGCTGATTATGGACTGAAACCACAAACTGTGAGCTAAATAAACCTCTCCTTCCTTAATTTTGAGCATCAGCAACAAGAGAAAAGTAACTATGATACTGCGTAAGAACTGTGAGCTCTGCTTTTTGGCAGAGGTTCCTGGGGGAAGAGGCTTGGCCTTCAATAACCTGTTGCAAACTTATTACTGCACAACCTGCCTTTTAATGTTCTTCTTGCACAAAGCTACTTCCGTCAGTGAACCACATCTTCTAAAAGTCATGTCAGGGCAGTTCACTGATGTTCTGCCTGCTTGCATAGGTCTGGGAGATCACTTATTCACAACAGTAGTTGACATCTGAGTCTGTAGGCATCAAAGAGGGAGAGTTAGTAATACAAGGTTTCACAGTATTGTCAAGAATGTTTAAGAGCATGGCCTGATACTTGGAAATCTATTCCAATGTCAACCACAAATAATATTTCACCTCAAGAATAGCCCTTCTCTTGATGGGGAGTCAGGAATTTTACTTTAGTTTTAAAGAGATTCTTCTCTTAGCATAGCTATAGCTGCTACTACCCTCAGAAAATGTCACCATCCAGTGTCTACTATGACTCTTTTGAAAAGTAAGCCACTGAACAGAATTATTGTTCTAGCATTTGGGCACAGATCCAGGACTTTTGACAGCCTGATATAAACAGTTTACCATTAGTTCAAATTTAGGTACCCAGATATAGCAGAAGTTGTACAGTCCCCAGAGAGGTATTGTTCCCTGGATATAGGAATGTATCTCAAGTATCTTTCTGAAGGGATATCTGGGCCTTTTCCTTTGAGACATTTTATTTCTTCTTAGCTAGAAAATTGAGAGCTTGCATAGTATTATGATTTGAGAACTCCCGAATTATGCTTCAGATTAGAATATCATTTACATACTGTAGTATGTTTCCCTGTTTAAGCTCTAAGTTCCTTAAGTCTTTCTCTAGTATCCAGCAAAAAAGGTGAGGGCCAGTATGAAAGCTCTGTGAGAGAACTGTCCAAGAATACTGCTATTTTTCCCTTGAAATGGGGTTTTCCCACTCAGAGGCAAATAGGAACTGGCAAGCT